TCTCACCTTCACTGGCGCTGATGATGATGTCGGGTTGGAACACGCTCCAGGAGGAAGAGTCTGAGCGACGGTTAAAGGTAAAGTCAAAAGTACATTTGAGTAGTTGAGTAGAAGTATAAATGATCATTTCATGGAAATATCCAAAGCAAAGTGCAAAGACCTCAAAATGTGTACTTAAGTCAATGTACGTACTTTCATTTCATCACACATTTTAACCTCCTGCTGGACTAAAGCAAAAACTAGAACTTGGTTTAAATAAATACAAATCTAAACACAGACACATGCGTGTTTCAAGAATAATCTTCCTGCACAAATGTCAGTAATAGAGATAGTATATCAAAGTAAGAAGAATATCCTGCAGACATACTTGCAATTTGTGGATGTATTAGAGTTGTTGTACTAGTACTTCAAACGTGTACTTAAGTAGTACTTGAGTAAATGTACTGGTAGTAAAGGATACAGAGCTGACATGGTACTGGAGGCTGAGAAGGAACAACTGCAGGACCTGCGGAGAGACAGAAAGACAAATAAAACACACTATCAATATGTGTGTGTGTGTGTGTGTGTGTGTGTGTGTGTGTGTGTGTGTGTGTGTGTGTGTGTGTGTGTGTGTGTGTGTGTGTGTGTGTGTGTATGTACCTGTCAAGGGAATCCTGTAGGGGTGAATGGAGCGTGCAGGCAGCACAGGTTGGTGTGTGTTCACCGTGCAGTCAGGCTCCTTCAGCTTGATGTCGAAGATCAGAGACGTCTGAAACACAAACACAATATAAATGTATCATTTAAAGATGATACTGGAGTGCAGTAGTGGTGTTCATGTACTTCCACCATAGAAACATTTCAAAACATGAATATAGATAAATCAATTAAATGTACTAAACCTGTGAGCTCTGATGATGAACGACCACCAGATTGTCCACGATGTTCAGAGCGAACTTCCCCGTCGTGTTGAGCCGCAGAACGTGAGTCTTCTTACACGTACCCTCCCTGAAAACACACATTAAGATAAACACATGTGTTTAAGGACTACTAGAAATGCAGCATTTCAATAACCTGCGGATTCTAACTTCCCTTCGTACCTTTGTTAGTCATAAATAAATACAGGTTGTATATGTACCTTGGTAGGTAATAGAGCACCACCTCTGCACAGGGACTGTTAGCTGTTCTGGAGTGATGCTTCAGATACATCACAAACAACTGGCCATATCTACACAGAGAGAATAGTCATGAATATTATCAATATTAAAGAAGACAATTAAAGAAAGAGAGACCACAAGAGAGCATTGAGACATTTTGGAGAGAAAGATTTAGAAAAGGGAAGACACTCATGTTACAAAAGATAAAGACAAATATAAATGAAATTAAAAGAAGGCAATAATCACTTCAATGTTGTAATACCAACTAAATACAAAATATATAAAGAATGGATATTAGAGTAGATCGATGGTTAACTCACATGGATGCCATGGCGATGTCTCTCTCCGACAGAATCAGTTTTGCAGGTTTGGGGACGACCGGCAACTCGATCTCAAACTTTGACATCTTGGACATCGTCCCGTTCTGAAAGAATAATATATAAAAACCAAATGATTTAATAATAAGTAAATAAAAACTGTTGCTGCATCTATGGGTGTTAGAAGAGTTCGGAAAAATGTGCTCCCGATCACAATAAGAGTAATGCACACACTGCAAACACAAAGTGTGTAAAAATAACTTGAACCGGCCGACACCCATGAATAATTTAAAGATAACATTTTGAACACATGTTAAACTGAGAAACGTATACATTGAAGCATTCATCCCCTAACAACCTGCGCTCAATTATTGTTTTTTAGTCATAGTAAAATGAGTTATTTCTTCATACATTGCTTATATTTTCTCACATTGACATTTTTTGTCTGACTCTGCAGATTATATAGAAAACGCTATTTGTTATATATTTTTTTGTGTACATTCCTGTGAAGTTGTGTATCACAGGTACTTTTAAAAGTACAATTAAAAATAAAGGATGTTAAAGTCAACACAGAGTTGTTGGCCAGCCTTCAACTTTTACATTTTTTTCTCAAATGTCCTGATATAAATAATCCACTTCTTTGGAAGAGTACAAATATTGTGTCTGTACATTTATCTTAATTAAAACAACAATCAAAGAATAGAGTGTGTTCCTGACCCTGAAGGCGAAGGGCTGCAGCACGTTGCCCTGCACCGTGGTGGACAGCAGGATGACGGCGGTCTCCGGACAGTACTGGTACCAGTTCACATTGATGCTCTGACTCTTCAGAAGCTTCAGGCTGCGCTTATCAGGAAACACCTGCAGCAACACACAGAATAGAAAGGAGACACACACTTTCACTTTAATGTGTTTTCAGATCAAATGATTGTGTCGTCCTGATCGTGCAAATTAAAATAGTCTGTATTCAAGAAAACAGATTATTCAAATATTAACTAAGCAGTAACCAAACATAACAAAAAGTTCAATAAAGTGGAATGCTTTTGATTTACCTGGTAAAACTCTATTCCTTGATCTGTGATGAAAACGATCTCGTTCCAGTTGATCCAGCAGAAACCCAGAACACTTGCATTTTTTGTCTGAATGACAATAAAACAAACAAAAACTTGATTATTTACATACAAAAAACACAAATACAGTCATTTTGAGCTGCTCCTTATATTTGTTATCAGCCATTACTCCATATCTCATCTTAGTTCTTATCTGAAAATGAAATGAAAAGAAGCTCTTTTGAATTCAAATGAAGAGATAGAGACGGATCAAACTTACTTTGCATTCCTGTGTGAACTCTGTGTGAGGATAGTCAGGAATGAAGTTGATGAAATCCTGCAGACAACAAAGAACCAATACTTTGAGTTTCTCTCCAGATTAAAGTGGTAAACATTCCTTAGCTCCATTATTCAAATCAATCCTTTGAAATCAGAATCAGGTTTTTTGCCAAGTAGTACAGCAAATGTGCTTTGGTGTATACATAAACAATGAGAGGAATTCATTTGAAAGTAGCAACTTTGCTGATCAAATATTAAAAGAAAACCTTGCCAACATTTGTTTTAAAATAATTCAAATGACTACAAATGTTTAATATGTTGATTATTTTTAGTCTTAAATGTCAACCTCTAACCAGGAGGATTTCATGTCATGTTCTGCTAAACTCACCACAGATTTTGAAGTCCTCTGAACTGCCAAGATTTTATTTCCAATGGAGAACTTTATACACTTAACTTCTCCTTTATCATCCATTCTGTGGAGGCAAACACGTTACACCATCAATACATTTGACTAATTTCTAATGTCACAAATGAGGTGAATACAAAAACAAAGAGTTAATATAAATTAAGTTTAAGTGGACAGGTGCAATGTAACACAATATAATAATCCGATTAATAAATCCCTTAAAATATTCCTGCACAGACTGATTTACCTGAAGGCAACACTGCTCTTGTCTTCCGGGCCTTTGACCACCACCCCCGTGGCTCCACCTGAACGCACCGCGAACACCTGCAGCCAGAAAGAAATAATCAGAAAAACAAGTGCAATCAAATCTGACTTTATTGCAGATTTTCAGATTTAAAATGAAGTACTTTCACTTGTTATAAAGTTATTCTAAATTGTTGTATTAAATGCAACATTTGGGGCTTTTTGAATTATTAGTTTTTTCTATAATTTTAGTGTTAATTATTTTTAGTTTTATATTATTTGGTTGGATCGCGGGGGTAGCAGTTCCAGCAGAGAGCTAAGCGGGAGAAGATGGATGGATGGATGGATTATTTGGTTGGAGGAGTTGGTCAAAACGAGTGGAAGTAATGTAAAATTAGTAAGAGGACATTTATCGCAATTGGCAAGGAGGTCACATCAGTCGCCTTTAATGTTGTATCTATATAATTGATTTAATCAGACCGAAACATTTGAAAAGAAACTCATGATGCTGACCCTATTTTAAAAAAAACATTATCTTGAATAACATTAAACAGCTGTGGCAAAAATAGAATAATAATATAACATGCTAGGATAGGAGTACTTTTATATTGATACGTTAGGTACATTTATTTAGCAAGCAATATGTTTTACTTTTACCTCAAAACATTTTCCTTTTAGTACTTTGACCTGTAGTGGGGTATTTTCAAACTGTGGTAATATAACTATTTCTCCAGATTTCAGATGTCAAAGTTCTTGTAATTATTAACTTAGCTGCCAAATAATGTATTTAAAATAAATGCATGTGTCATCAACCAGCAAACTGTACAGAAAGTAAACTATAACTAAAATGATTAAATGCTGTTAATAAAAGGGTTAAGAATGTTTTATAAACTAACAAACTGTCAGTTTGCCGTCGATGTTTACTAGCTTCTGACCTGCTTGTTAGCTTCGTCGAAAAAGACGTTGTTGACGCTGGAGGCATGTTCAAACTGCACCGGGTTCTCACACAGCTCCAGGTAATGTTCCTCGCTCATCTTCACGCTTTGTTTTTTTATTATATAATTAGAATTACTATCGTTTTATACTTAATTCAGAGTGCTGACATTCTGAGAAGCAGAAGAGGAAGAGTTCCCTTCAACCGGCGGCCATGACACTTCCGGTTTCCGCCTTCGTCCTTCAGAATAAAAGCGGAGTAAATGAGATATTAGGACCTTTCAACAGCGGTGGAAGAAGTTCATTTTGTACTTAAAACATTTGCAAATACCACACTGTAAAAATGCTATATTTAAGTAAAGGGTTTGGTATTTTGGTATAGAAAATGTCAAAGTACAATCCTTTGAAAGGATTGTATTTTATTTTGTTTGGGGCAACTGCATAATTTGGATAGATTATGCTTTTATTGTGAAGGAGAAAGGTCGGAAGTCTCATTGTTTTTGCAGCTGGGAGTCATGTGACAGTCTGACAATCACGTGCTTAACAGAGAAACACACTTCTCTCTCAAACCTTTGAGTGCTAAACAGATAGTATACAACAATATTTTGTTAATTGATCAATACATTAAAAGACAACACAAACGTTTTCATTTTCACTTTTTAATATCACCATTAGGTCTGCTTAAAGTTACATAGCAAATTCATTACCTATCCATTAAGGTGAAAAACACACCGGATTTACTGAATCTCCATCACTGCAAACTAAATCTTCTACATTTACTGACATCACACTGAGATTACTTTTCATTTGCATGCATTTGTTCTCATGAGCTTTGATTTCAGGCACCACAAAATCATTTAATAAGACGTTGTCTTGTATCATGATATAACATCGATATATTGCCCCGCCCTACACATAATCTCTACAAACTCAAAATTGTAAATGAACCTCTGCGAGTTATCCAGCCGGATAGATGAGGTCTTATATTATTTTGACTGTGATTCTTACAAACACAGATGACGTCCCCTCCTCTCAGGATTTCAACCTCCAACACGGTGAAGCTCCTCTTGCAACCAGCAGGAGGCGCTGCGTCCTGCTGTGTAAAGGAAGCAGTTGGTGAAGGGTGGCTTGTTGGAGACGGGGAGGCACCCAGACCTCCAAATGGGGGAGGGCACCTCCATTATCTCCTCTTTTTAGAGCATTTTCATCACGTTGGGATCGTGAAGAGAGAGCAGCGGGGCGTTAGTCATCAGAATCTGGTATTAAAGGAGGACCGCAGTCCTCTGAGGTCACATGAAACGTTTTCTTTCCCCGGCGCTGCACGTGGTCCTCGTTACGCTTCTCATAGGCCATGATCTGTCAGAGAGAGAGAGAGCATTAAACTCCAATTTAAAATAGTTTCCTTTTAAAAAATTCAATTCCAATCTGTATGAGGAAAGTGTGAGTGAAGACCAACGTTGTTTTAAGATATTGTTGGAAACTTTCTATTTGTAAAATGAATGATGCCCAGGAAAGAGAATATCAGTAGATGATGGAGCAGTGGACCAAATAAAGTTATACTACAATGGCCCTAATACAACGTAGCAGATAACTGAATTTAACACATTTGAAGTATTAATTCAGTTTTCTTAAGTTTTTCTCTTAAGGTTAAGTCTCCTTCTGTAAACTTCCAAAACCTGCAGCAGAGACACATTCCACAACAATTTGTTTACAATTTTATTTATAAATTATTAGGGCTGTCAAACGATTAATTTTTTTAAATCAGATTAATCACAGCTTAAAAATTAATTAATCATGATTAATCACCATTCAAACTATGTCCACAATATGCCATTTCTTTATGTATATTGTTGTGGGAATGGAAAGATAAATGAAAGAAGGCGGATATTTCCATTTAACATACAGTATCTATGTTTATTATAACATTTTTCTGCGTGTCAAAAACTGTGGGGTCTTAATTCATTACGTGTTGATTTCTATCAACGGGGGAGTACTTCAGGAAAGTCGACAGAGGGGGGGGGGAGGGGCTAGTGGTGTACTTCGTGACCACAGAGTGTGAACGTTGTGATCAGCTGTTTTAGCGCAGTTCTCCAGTGAAGGGGGGAGTCTCCCTCCGCAGCCGGTTGGCGTAATTTTGGCACAATTCCGTTGTACAGACCGACGTTAACAGCAGCCCTGTCTGTGCACACGGAGACCGACTCTGTCGTCCGGTGATCTAACCGCCTTCTGGAAAAGCTTCACAAGTACGTCGGTACCTAAATGCGCTTTGTGACAAGTGACGGTACGCATTTCAGATTACGCACATAACCTGCGTACCAGTTATGTGCACCCCTGTACTACAGCAAAAGTATTCTCCGTAGGGACTTTCTGCAACAACACCACGCCGTTATCTTGATTCTGATTGGCCAGAAGACATTATCAAAGATGTTCTATTGAGAAGACGATCACTACCTGACAAAAGTTTTCAAAACCATTTCTGGTCTTCTGTATTTCCAGACAAGTGGCTACTGAAACCAATCTTACCAACTGCTGTCTGTGCAATTTACTCAACGCGAGTTGGCGGACTTTATTTAGCTTACTTTAACATCATTTTTCATGGTGGGGCTAAGCCATTTCTTGGTATGGGTGTAGCCTACCCCAGCCATACCCTGGCGCTGCCACTGGTGGGATGTATGGGGCGGGCCATTCTGCACATGCGTTAAATGCGTTAAATATTTTAACGCAATTAATTCAAAAAATTAATTACCACCGTTAACGCGATCATTTTGACAGCATTATAAATTATATAAAATGATTCCCACATGCCTCTTTAAATTGTTTTTATTGATTTATGCATTTGTGTGTTACCTCAGAAATGAACTCGGCCTCGGCCTCGTCCGGGGGGATGGGAATGTTCATTCCACTCACAGCGTTGAAAAGTTCGTACACAGTCATCGCCTCGCTCACACCTCTCTTCTGGAAGAACTGAGGCAGAAAACACAAGAGATTAATTCACATGAAGAACTTTGATCAGAAATATTTTTTCTAAAGAAGCTGCATGTGGAAGGAAACCTCACAGTGGAAACGTTCCTGCAGTCTCTGAAGAGGAACTCCAGAGCGTGAGGATGACGAGGCTCGATGGACTGACTGACATCTATCAACCACACCTACAATTAAGAAATACAATTAAAGTGAGAAAACAGGAAGATGCAAAGAAGGACGATTTATGGGACTTTAAAGAAAGAAATCATTAAATAAAAGATGTGGTTACCTTTCCTTCGTGCCACAGCATGTTGTATTCACTGAGGTCAGCATGAACCAGATTACACTCCTGATACATCTGCTGCATCATCTGCAAAAACATCAAGACAAATAAGGTTAAAAGGTAGATTTGCGCACCCTAATATAGTATTATTCAGTCCCAAAATAACAACATAATAACTATAGTCTTAGTTGTGTGTTTTGAAGACATTTAGCTATTATTCCCATGGAGGATTAATGCACTTATTGTTGGCTTTCTTATGTAATTATTATTTCAATTGTCTGATACACTGAACAAAAACATAAACGCAACACTTTTGTTTTTGCTCCCATTTTTCATGAGATGAACTCAAAGATCTAAAACATTTTCTATATACACAAAATAACCATTTCTCTCAAATTTTGTTCACAAATCTGAAAAAATCTGTGATAGTGAGCACTTCTCCTTTGCCGAGATAATCCATCCCACCTCACAGGTGTGGCATATCAAGATGCTGATTAGACAGCATGATTATTGCACAGGTGTGCCTTAGGCTGGCCACAATAAAAGGCCACTCTGAAACGTGCAGTTTTGCTTTATTGGGGATTATTATACATTACCCTAACCCTACCCCTCACACCAGATACTGACTGGTTTTCGGACCCCCCCAGACCCCCCCAATAAAGCAAAACTGCACGTTTCAGAGTGGCCTTTTATTGTGGCCAGCCTAAGGCACACCTGTGCAATAATCATGCTGTCTAATCAGCATCTTCATCTCATGAAAAATGGGAGCAAAAACAAAAGTGTTGCGTTTATATTTTTGTTCAGTGTAATATCTGCTTCTTTTATTTTTAATCATTTATAAATGTATGTAACCTTATTACTGTTGGGTATTTGATTTGATTTACTTCGCATATTATTTGTAAATGTGTTTTGAAAAAAGTCTATTTGGTTTTTGAAATATATTTAATTGTCTGATTTAATTTGTCAAGTTTCAACCACAAAGCAAAACTCTATGTAAGCTGCTATATAAACACATTTCAATATGTTTATTATTAAGCACAATAATAAAGGTTATTGATTGACTACCTATATGACTTTTATCATTATTATTATTATTTTGTATCCTATTTATTGCTGTATACATAAAACATGTACACATTCTATAAAGTTCCCTTGAAAGTCATTATTTTACACTGAATTCATTTTGTTTACATGTCTGACAGTTCAGTTGCACTGTAAGTAAACTAGCAGTACAAAGTTCACTTCCTGCTGTCCTGGTACTCACATGCAGGACCTGGTAGAAGGCGCTCTTCATCTCCTCTGAACCCAACTTGGCGTCCTTCAGTTTGGGAGCAGGAATGTGATCCTTCCCGATGAAGGACATCACCAGGATGTGCTTCTTCAGCAGCACCACCTCGGGACAGGGGATCTCCGCCTTCCTCATCCTGAACACAAAGAAAATAATAGAGAATGAAAAAATAATAATAATACATAAAACAAAAAAACATATTTAAGCATTTTCTAGGGAAATAAATAAATATAACTAAATATCAACTTATGTCACATTCAGGGCTGGCCCTGACCAATTTGCTGCCCTAGGCAATATTTTAGCTGGTTATATAAGATAATAAGATGTACTTTGTTGATCCAAAATCGGGAAATTGTGATGTTATGAAATTAAAAAAAATATATATATTTTTATTTCTAACTTTTTTCTTCTTCTTTTTTCTCCCCAATTTTTGGCGCCCCCGATTGGTTGATGCACCCTTAGCATTCGCCTATACTGCCTATGCCAAGGGCCGGCCCTGGTCACATTTGATCAATGTATTAACACCAAACACCACTTTAGATCTTAATAAAAAATACATGTGTGCATTTATTTAAGAGGGGAAAACAAACACCAAAAAAGGGGAAAGTTGTTGTTGGCACCTGGTTGTAATACAGTGGAATAACCCTTTAGATACATAAATAAAAGTCCTAATAGGATGAGGGGGTGTACCTGGTCAGGTTGTGCATCTCCTTCTCGGCCCAGAGCCGGATGACCTTTCTTGGGTTCAGTTTGCTGAAGCGGTCGATGAAGCGGTAGTCGTCTTTGATGTAACGGTCTCGGTTCTTAAACTCGTTCAGCGTCGTCTTGAAGACCTTCAGCACGACTTCACTGGGAACAGGCTGCTCCTCCAGACTACAAAACACACAGAGGCAAAATGTGTGGTTAATGATACAGCTCCTGTTCTATAAAAAAAGAAAAGGGCTCCCTAAATGTCTGAGGGAAAATTCACAAAGTGATTACGCTGCTTTCTCTCTGCTCTCTGATGTAATATGGTCGATCACAAGAGAATTGCACGAATAACTGAACAAAGTTGGAGTGAAATTATAAGCATTTTCTGAGAAATGTTGTTGTCTGAAGCAAAGGTATGGAAGCGCTTTATAAATTAAAACATTGCTTGTTGCTTGCATTGTTGCATTTATTTGAAATGAAATGATCCCAGAGGTTTCTAAGTGCCGGCCATGATAAGAGCTGTTTTATTTCAATAGATGGTAGGAAAGGAGCTTCGATGCTTTTTGTATTCTCTGCAGGGCCCAATGTAGAAGAATCTTTCAAACATATACGTATAAATGCTCATTGGTCTTTTTCCTGACATCCACCCACCTCCCTCCGTCAGCGTGGAACACCACCGACTCCTTCCCGGTGCTGATGCAGCCGTTAATGTTCTCCAGCACGCCAGCGTTCACCATCTTGTACATCAGCAGGCGAGTGCGGGGGTCCACCGCTTGTTCCTGAGGAGAGACAGTTTTAATATGACGTAGAACAACTCTCTTTATTATTGTTAATAAAGTGTTTTTGCACGTACAGCGGTGGAGTGCTCCTTCTTCTCGTGCAGCCGGGCGCTGCGTCTCTGCTCGTTGTAGCAGTGCTGCTTCAGAGAGTTGTACACCTGGTTGGATAACTTCAGGTCCATCCCCAAACCGTCTCCAATGTGCACCCCAGGAGCAAACTGCAGCAGGAGGAGAGGAAGTCGTTTTTACATTGGGTTTAACGTAGTCCAAAAGTTCATAAGAAATTCAACCTGCACATTTCTCCTAACGATATTAACTGCCCAGAAAATGAAATGTTCAGTCGTCCTTAACCAAGGATGACTGAACATCCTGATTTATTGAGTTTGTATCAAAACTCTGTGTGCAAAAATAAAATTCTGTGGAAGGTGTTGCACATTTAAACATGGATGTCAATCTGTTCACACTAAATTGTAGAGGGCTTATCTAAACTGAACCAAAAATGATTTGTCAATAATCCTCAACACGAAGAAGATACGTTTTTAACAGAGCTAAAGCATTCTCTGTATTTTCACATTTTAAACTCCTATTTACAATATAATTCCTAGTCCTGCATTAAGCAAATGTTTTTATGGCTCTTTGTTCTGATGTTTGCAAGTATATCATAGGGTTTTACCACAGCTCTATTTTAACATTTGTATTTATTTATGTAAAGAGCACCTTCATCTCTCTTTCCCTTTAGCTTTTAAAGGTCCCATGTCATGCTTTTACAGTTATTACCCGTCCCCTTGTGTGTTATGAAGGTTTTTCTGCATGTAAACGGTCTGCAAAGTCACAAACCCTCAAAGTACACCCTGTAGCGAGTAAAACTCTAACACAGAAAAGACCTGTCTATGCTGCCCCAGAACGCCTCGTTGGAGATTTCTCTTTTTCTTCCTGGGCAAAACTGTGGCACGCTTACACTGTAGGTGCGCCGCGTTTGGGGGTGCGGGTGCTAGTGGAGCCTTGCAGATGGGGGTGCTGCAGCCCCCTCAGCACCACCACCCCCCCCTTCCCGCGTCCATTCGCGATGTCTCACAGATCCCACGCAGCAAGCAGGAAATGAACCCGGCTCACACTGACCGCTCCTCACAGCAGCGAGCCCCGCAACGTCCCGCCAACATGACACCCAGACCCCACGCAGCATTCTCATCTGTTTGTCATTACTGAGGTCATTTTCTGGTTGCTAACACCATTGTAACACATAATCACTGATGTTCCGCTGTAACGGTGGTGATCTCATCAGAACAGAGTGGGCGAGCTGACCAATCAGAGCACAGTGGGCTCACAGGGAGGGGGGGGGCAGGAGCTCCAACAAGGCGTGTAGGACAGAGAGTGAATACACATACTATACAGAGATGCTGTGTGAGAAACCAATGTGAGTGTGGAACATTGAATAATGTAAATCTATTCTAGTAGACCTCAACAATGGAATTATGATCAGTAGAAATGGCCATGTCATGGGACCTTTAAAAAATAAATAATAACAATGTTTTTAAAGGCATTTGAAAAAACATTGACAATGTAATAGTAAATAAAAAACGTTGGGTGTCCTACATTGTCCATGCGCGCGGTGTTCTTGCGTCCGCAGGTCTCTGCATCGTGTTTGGTGGTGATGTTCTTTCCTTTCCCAGAGAAGCCTCTCCTGGGTGTAGTCTGAGGTTTATCTGATAAGAACGCAGAAACACACTCTGCTTTAATACATGCACCTCCCCTAATGGTACTGCCAGGTGTGTCTGTTATTTTGTCCACCCCCTGCAGGAGTCTTACCAGCTTTGTAAGGGTCGTGTTTCGTGTCCTGCCAGTCCACCTCGTCCTCGGAGCTGTCGCTGTCCTCGTAGGGATGAACCATACGGTAGTTCTCAAAGGAGATGGACACTGAACAAAACATCCAAACTGTCAGCTTTACATACTTTACAGGACATTTGACCATATCCATTTTTATAAATATTTCCTCCCTATAAAAGTGGGGATATAACAGGCCAAAACATTCAGGACATTGAGTTACAGTGGAGGTTTTTTATTAGTATGGTATGAGTACTTTTCCTAAATACACTTAATATCACACTTACAAACAATAATAATAATCATCCCATTTAAGTAAGAACCTTTGCTGTCTCCGTTGAATCTCTTCTCCTCGCGGCGCAGCTGATCATCAAACTCGCGGTCGAACTGCAGCTGCAGCAACTTGGCGAGCACCTGGTCGGACGTCGTCTCCGAAACTTCGTCAGACAGCAGCAGATCTGCAGCCGGACTGAAACACAGAGAGAGAGGGAATAAATCGTGAACAGAAGACCGTCAAATCATTTGAGTTTTTTTGTTCGTAGTATTCAATCTTCAAAAAAAAAAAAAAAGTGGCTAATTGTGATCAATCACGGATTGTTATTGAGATTTATCGTGATTAATCATAGATTATTATTGCGATTAACACAATACTTTTTTAAATGATTGACAGCACTAATATTTACATTTCCACATACAAGAGTTTTAAAAACATTTCTTTATTTGCTGTTAGCATTATACACACATTCAGATTGTGAACACAGGTGAGTCACACAGGTGAGGACCTACTCAGTGAGGGTGGGGAAGGTGTTGTCCTCCTCCGTCAGCTGATTGGCCAGCTGTTCGCTCATCACATCTGTCAGAGAGCAGGCGGGGGCCGCAGGGGCCACGTGCCCCCACGGGCTCTGGATAAAACACAAAGAACACACATATAACACTTAGGAACACACACTCACACCAAAACACTTTTACACTGATGATAAGCTGCGACACAAGAGCAAAAGCCAGTAAATTAGCTACACCTGGCTGAAATGGTTGTAAGTTTAATAAATGATACATGAAAATATAAGTCTGGTCCATTTTTCTGTATGTAAAATCTATAAATAAAGTCTGTATGAAAAACTGTACAAGCTTGGTGTTCACATGGAAAGATGAGGACAAAATCTAAAGATGTGTATTTGCAATTCATAAGATAAAACCGTAAACAAATAAATAAAGGTAGCCTGGCGGCAGATATTAAAGCACCGTTGGACTTTATTTGTGAATGAGGCAGTCACCAGTGTGATGAACACACAGAGTGAGTCATAATGGAAGTATTCATACAGTCTAAGGTCAACACAGGATCCAGAAGTGAAGCAGAGACATGTTCAGACATGTCTGAGCTCAGTCCACACCCACCGTCCTGATGGGTTTTTAGGGCTGAAACTGTTCTTATTTATAAAATTAAGATATCAAATTAGGGTTTATTTATAATCTGCCATTTACTCCTGTTCTAAAATTTCATTTTTCATGTAATCGTTTATTTGAACCGGGACAATGCACATTGATGAACATTTTAAACAAAATAATGCTTTCAAATGTAAATGAGCCGGATTTTAGCTTTGAGCTCATTTCCATCCGTAGTCCCGTCACATACAACATTTATGACAGTTATATACATGGCAAAAATAAATACATGACATGCAGACAGAGCATGAGCAGCATACACGCATTTACCACATGGCAGTACAATGTAGCAGCTACGATATCAAGTGCAAGAGGAGATACCCCTGTGTTAAAGTGCATTTAGCGGTGATTACACGTCTGTTTGTTTCTCAACCATTCTTTGAGTTGACCTTTAAAACTATTGAGAGTGGGACAATCCCGTATCTCAGTTGGGAGGCTGTTCCAGAAAGAGCTGCCTTTAATGGAGAGGATATTTTGTCCAAAAGTGGTCCGTCTATGGTGGACTTCACAGTCTCCTCTGGTTTCCGACCTAGTGCAGCGTCCAGTGTGTTTTTTTGTGGATTAATTCCCCTAACGGAGGGGAGGGGGCATTCCATGTAAACATTTATTAAAAAAAACACATACTTTTAAAATACTTAAAATTAGGGATGCTCCGATCGATCGGTCACCGATCGATATCGGCCGATACTCACTCTCTACCGATCGATCGGTGCTCTCTAAACATGCCGATCGCATGACGTAAAATACATGACACTTTTCTCTGTGTGCGGCAAAACAAGCTCGCCAAAATGTCTTCACCGGTCTGGCATTATTTTAAGGTGTCCGAAAAAGACAGTAAAATAGCGGTATGCAACGTGTGTGTGAAGCAGAAATCCTGCAGCTCCGCCCGCCGGACCGGTGAGCGGAGCGAAACACACAAGAGTTAGACCTAACACACCTAGCTATTTTATCTACCTCTGGAACAAGCTAAACTAGTTATTATAGATCAGTGAGCTGCATGAGATACTGACAGGCTGTCAGGAGAGGGAGAGGGAGAGAGGGGGAGAGAGGGGGGAGAGAGGAAAAGAGAGCGCTTCCGCTCATTTCTCCCGAGTTATTCTCCAAAGTGAATGTAAACTTGAATAATGTACATCATTTGAATGTAATAATTAAGTTGATTGTTGTTTGTGGAAGCTCCACAGAATGAGCCCCATTAACTGAGTTTAAACATCACTTTTAATGGAAGATTTAAAGTGATGTTTAAATCTTCCATTTAGGCCCCGCCCACTTGATCGGATTGGCGATCGGTATCGGCCGACACTGATTCCGGCGATCGGCCCCGAAATTGGCGATCGGAGCATCCCTACTTAAAATGGTCAAAACTGGTGGTATGAATGAGGCTTTCTGTCAAACACCTTGATAGCTCTCTTGTACAGCTGTTCTATTGGTTCAGGTTTGTGGCACAAGCAAACGACCAGTTTGTAAAACAGTATTCAATGTGGGATAGAATCATACAGTGGAGGTATGACTTTGCAGCATTGACAGTTAAGAAAGGTCTCATTTGTTTAACATTTAGCAAGTTGAATTTAATGGTATTGGATACTTTCTTGATATGCTTCTTAAAAGTCAAGTTTGAGTCCAATATGACTCCGAGATACTTGAACTGGGAGACTAGGGGATATGTTATGTCCTTTCATTTTATAAATCAGCTATAGTGTCTTACTAGCATCTGAGTTAATGTGATTATCGCAAATAACAGAGTTTATTTTGGAGCGAAACTTATGCCAACATATCTCTAATCATGGCACACCCAGTGACCAGAGCCCTGGCAGCTGCGGACTAATGTGACTGTCCACTCACAGTGAGCTAAATTCGGCCTTTTAGGGAGGCGACTTTCAAAGAGGCCATGTTAGAAAACAGCTAAGCAGAAGCTAAAGCTAGCAGGCTAGGAAGCTCACCGACATAGCTTCGTGGATTTGAACACAATTGAATGTATAACACACAATCAAATGATACAGAAGCTTACCTTTGGCGTTACTAGTCCTATTTGATCCATGATTAAAACAACTTCGATTAGTCGTTGTTTTACTTGAAGATTGAATGGTGGCTAGCCGCTGAGCTAATGTTAGCACACTCCGGTTGGGGCAGATCTGGAGACGAAAAGGTCCTGAAAAGAGGCTTCAACAACGTCCCGCGATGTGACAACTACACACAACAATGTTATGAACTTAACTTCAGTGAGTGTAAGAAGATAATGTTCGAGGTTTTTCTTTCAAATAAGTTAACAAACAGTGTAAACGAGGTAGATATAATTTATGTGAGGAGTTTCCGAGCTGAGTGGACCCTGGAACAACAGGAAAACGTCACTAGGCCGGAAGTCTACCGCCCGCCTTCACAACATAATAAATAAAATAAAAACAACAAAGCAACAAAAAGGCCGGTTGTCATGTAATCCGTGTATCTACCGTCCAATTGTTCTTCTTTATTAAACACGTAAACGGAAGAGCGTTTGAGAGGCCTTTTTGCTTTTTACCTTACTAAATGGTCTAATGGTCATTGGAGCGAGGGGCGGGGCGAAACTCACGGAAGTGATTTCAAAACAAAAGCGGTGATAATATTATAAACAAAGGGAAACAAGGTGAATTTAGCGATCACAACGAAAACGGCCAAGACACATATTGAGCCCAGAAAATTGATGTTATTAAGGGCTGTAAATATAATAAGCCTCTGTCTAAAATGGACAACGTTGTTAGGAGATTTAAACTATAGGCTACAGCGATTCTGCACTGCGGTCAACTCCGCCACCTCTCGAGTTTTTCCAAATCAGCTGCTCTTCATTCCTGCTATATTTGACGAGTGATACAAATATGTTTTACCACAAGTTCTTAAGGAAACTGACACTGTTGGACTCGGTTCTAGTTTGACTTCTACCAGAAATAAAATGAAGTACTTTTGCTGTGTACTTTGTGAGTAATCCTCTGTCATAGTCCCCTCCTTAGTAGGCTACATAATGCATGTTTTTCTGCTATCTTTGATGAATGATACACATATAATGTTACCATTAGTTCTTAATTAAATTCATACTGTTTGACTTGTATTAGTTAGCCTACTACTAACAATACATTGAAGTACTTTTACTATGTATTGTTTGAGGAATACTCTGTCAAAGTCCCCTGCTGAGAACAAAATCTAGCCACTTCTGCTCAATTTGATGAGGGAATTATTTTTTGTTTCCATTAGTTCTTCGTGAGATTAATCCTGTTGGACTCAGTACTAGTGAAACTACCCCCAGAGAAGTACTATGAAGTACTTACTGTGTACTTTTCCAACAATCCTCTGTCAATGTCCCCTCCTGAGCAGTGCTTGAATTGGAATGAAAAAGGTGCCAGTACTCTAAAATCAGCAACTTTTTCAAGTCAATTTTATATATACAGCCCACAAACAAGAATTTGGCTACTATAATGCTGGTGGGTTTGTCTCTTTACTACTGTATATTTTAGAAAGGTTCACTGTACTTAACATTTTTTATGATAGGCAGCGGATATGGCTATAACTCAGTAAGGTCAATATTAACTGAAAATATAGCAATCAAAGTCTAGATCTTCTGCTGAAGACACATGAAGCAGAGACCTTTCAGGTGAGAGCCCCTCTGGTGGTGTTCAACATTAATGACAAGGAAACAAAGCTCTGGTCAGAAGCATTTTTTATAAAAATCTTTAACAAAATTAAGTATTTCTGTACATTTTGAATGCAATCTAACTTTCCAACTCAGAAAACGAAAAACGAAAAAGTGCCAAAAGTCTTCTCACATGGCTGAGCTGCTTTGCAATATACTTCACCACTGAAGAATACAAATATGTATAAAGTAAACTATGATGCAATCTAACTTTCCAACTCAGAAAAATGATAAAGAGCATGAACAAAGAACATGTAAAAACAAATGCAAAATTTGCACAATCTAAAATGAGAAACTGTAACTGCAAGTAACAAAGTCTGAGCCATGGTAAAGAGTTACATTGAACACCAAGCTGATCAGATAACTCCCTGGTTGGTCTGAAGTCCTTCTATCTCCAGGATCTGTACAAATCGGCACATTATGCCAAAAGTCTTCTCACTGGGTGAGCTGCTTTGCAATATACTTCACATTGTTAGAAAAGGCTCCAGAAGGCCTTGGGGACATCAGTATCAGGGGCTGGAGCTGGACAGGCTCTTTCATCAGCACTTCTCCTTCCCTTTGCCAGCCAGGACCTCACATACTGTTCCGGATTGAACTGTCCTAGTGATGGTCCATTACATTTAATGAAAACCAGGCTGGACAGTCGGCTGACAGAGAGAGCATTCCTTTTTGCAGTAAGGATATCGTTCATGGAGCTGAATGCCCGCTCACACTCACTAGTGGAGACAGCGATGGTTCGGACTGCTTTCAGTAGAGGCTCCATGGCAGCAGGTGTACGGGATGCCCTGGTTTCCTTGTTTTCGCGAAAGCCCTGAACAGTCTCTCTTCTGTCCACTTTCAGCACTTCGCACAAACGTAGCACCTCTACGTCCCCATACTGTACGTCTAACTCCTCTTCAGGCCAACTTCCAGGATGGATAACTTTCATGTCCTGGATTAGCTGATTGTCCCGGGCCTCCCGGCCATGTAATGGGATTTCTCTTGTGCTGACATGAGAGGAGGTTGTGGAAGTCATTCTGTGTCTCAGATTCTCTACCATACTGCGGAAAAACTGACCTGCATGAATCTGTACAAGCCTGCCATTCTCACGCAGGGCAACACCCTTGAAGGACTTCTCAGCTAGAGCTGTATGAACTGTAGTCATGTGTGGGCCAGGCATGGTGACCATGGATTCAAAAACCCGTATTTCTCGAGTTAAGAGCCTATCTGCTGTAGGCAGTGTCATCTCTCTTTTTTGGAGTTGCCGAGAGAGGTCGCTGAGCTCTGTGAGCGCATCGTACATCAGTCCCAGATTGCTGACAAACGTTGCAGATGTGAGCACATCATCCAGGCCCTTGTACTTTGCTCTGTCTCTGGAATCCCTGCTCGTGTCGTTTGCAGCATTTGTGAAGTGATCATGAAGCACTCGGTAGTTTTCCCAGACTGCTCTGACGCTCCTTTCACTTGAAGCCACCCAGCGGATGGACAAAACACGCCCTATCACCAGGAGACGCTGTCCGACTGCTTGCGCACACTGCGCTAACTGCCTCTGATTTTTGGGGGAGGCATGGAACAAGGAATAGAGTTTGTCAAAAAAGATCTGGAAATGATTGAGCCCTGAGACCTCCTTGACCACATCCCCGACTGCCAGCTCTAGACGATGATTGGAGCAGTGCCACACAAACAGGCTTGGGAATTTACTACACAACTGGGTAGCAACGCCTGTTCTCTTCCCTAGCATGACTGAAGCCCCATCACATGCAAAATAAACGAAACACTGACCTAAAAAGTCCTCGTTAAAATCTCTTCCAAGACACTCCATTAACGCCTTTGTGATGTCATCAGCCGTTGTTCCATCCAACTCGATCAGCTCCCAAAAAAACGTTTCGGGCTCAGCATCAGCTAATGCTGAGCGTAGACACACAACAAGCACCGTTTTACCACTAATAGTGGTAGATTCATCGACCAAAACACAGAGTTTTCTTTGGTTTTCTGTAATGTCTTTTGCCATTTTTTTCTTCAGCTCATGAGCTATGTGGTCGATGATTTCGCCACAGGTTTTATTGGAGTGCAAAACCCTGCCCACGTTCAGCCCATTCAGTTTCTGTACATTCAAATCAATTGGCATGTCTGTGAATGGCCGGCTATGTTTGCCAATTTTATATCCCGTTCGAAAAACTCTGATAGTGGTGTCTAATTCAGATTTATGCATAGACTGCACTTGATGTTGAATAGTTTCACGTGAAGCAGATGTAAGGATGTCAGCAGCTTTTACATGGGCTTGTGATTCTTTATGTTCTTTGATTTTTTTTTCTCAGGCTAGCTTGTTGTTTGCCCTTGTCAACACCGAAATGAGACACTGCACACTCACCCCATTCAGTTGACAGTTTCAGTCCTTGTCCAGTGTGTATTCCCAAAGATTTGACATCTCTGCATATCCGACATCCTAGCTTCTTATCTTTAAGAAGGAGCCATGCATTGGTCTTGCAAAAATATTGCACCTGGTCCGTTGTCCAGCAGTCAGGTGCATCGCTTTGCCCGGTGTTGGTGGTGGCAGTTGCGCCAGCAGCAGCTAACATTAGAGGCTCTGGAGGAGGCGGCGGAGCTAGTGCTAATGCTAATGCACTAGAACTTGGAGCAGGAGGATCAACCAAAGAAAGCTCCCCATCAGACACAATTTCCAACACAGGCACAGCATTCTCTGTATTTGAAGTTTCTTCCGGCGACAACCGCTGTCTTTTTGCACTTTTATTAATCCACACTAACATTTTAGAAATGCTAATTTGTGACGTGACTTGCTTTCCTTCTCTCGGGGGCGTGCCTGCTCTGTTCTATCACTCTACATAGCCACCCACTGGGTGGGAGTTGCACTGCATAAACACAACACACGTGCATCTAGGTATGTAAATTGTAAAGCATTAAAACATGGTTTTACTAACAGTTTTCAGTATGTTGTTACTTCGGCATTATTATTATTATTATTATTTTGAAACGTGTATTACTATTAAATCACGGTCAAATAGGTTAATTTTGACATAGTCGTTTCCACCACAGTATTTACATGGAGAAGATAAGCCCCGCCCCCTCTCCAGCACGTTCTGTTTGAATGACAGGAGTAAACAGCTGACAGCCGCTGTGAAACTCCAGCGGTTAGAGCGATGAGAATGTCCGTTCGGCACCTCATGACGCATCTACTGAGTACCGGGCGGCTGTATATATATATATGGATGTATAATAAGAACGGCGGGAGAGTGTTGAGTACTGGCACGGTGCATGAGTACCGGAGTACCGCCAGCATGCCGGTACTGAGCAAGAAGTGCTGGTACTCCATGGGTCAGAACCAGAAGTGCCGGTACTGCGTACCGGTGAGTACCGGCCCAATTCCAGCACTGCGAGTCCTGAGTACAAGAATGCATGTTTCTCTGCTATTTTGAATAAGCGTTAAAAAAAACTTTCTTCATGAGACTGATATTGTTGGACAGAGTATTTTAAGAGGATATGGTGGACATATTATCAGCAATACTTCCAGTCAGTACTCTGGCAGCAGCATTTTTACACCTTGGAAAGTCTTTAGAGACTGGCCTTCAGCAAAGTGACACACCCTGACCTTGGCCTCTTATGACAATGTTGTCTTCTAAGGACTATTTCTCTACTCCTAGTTCATTCCTCGCAGATTCTTCCATCAGTCATGGAACGTATTTTATTTCCTTCTCCATGTTATACTTATACATGTTGAACTGCTGGATATCTTCCCCAGCCACAAGGAAACACAATAAATGGATTCATAATTTTTTTTAAATAATAAAAATGTATACATTAATAATGTTGTGTGCCAACATTTTGAATTTAAATATAAAATGAAAAGAAAGTTTA